GTGGCATGCAACATTTCATTTCCTTGGTCGGATGGTGCATTTGGCGGATACCCAAATTAATCAAAAAAGCATGCCAGACAAACCTTCCACTGATTTCATTCATATAAGGATTCTGATTCCTAAAACTCTAACCGGATGGCAATACAGAGCTTATATATCAATGAGCAGCTGAAACCAGAAAGGTTCGAATTCTTTGTAACAGCTCGGCCTTTTATGGAATCAGGAACTGAAGCTGCATGTAAAGAAAAAATAGCAGCTCATAAACTAGTAAGACAATTGGAATGCCAGAAACATAATGAAATGGAAGTAAGAAATTAAACTAGAGTCCATCCACCAAAAAGATGACTAAAACTCATTCATTCTACTACCTACGGAACCATAAAACAGATTATCATTTCTTGACCATTACAGGGCACAAAAACTAATCATTGGGATTACCTGTTCAATGTAATTCATTATTAAACCATGTTAGTCCTTTAGTCTTGTCAATCCCGTGAACAAACATGCTTTATCGAGTTGTAAATTTCCTAAGTTTGTTGTCTTGCTCGCTCGAGCGAAAGCTTGCTTCTGTCTGCCAAAAACCTGTGAAGAAGATTGTGCCTCGAGCACAGGTAGCGTGGCTCGAGCAAAGCCACTTAAGGAAAACACGTTATTTGGTTCCTCGCTCGACGCGAGAGAGTCTTCGCTCGAGAGAGCTTCGCTGCCCTGTTTTCTATAAGTATTTGTTTAAGTCCAAATCTAGGATTACGTTTTTGAGATATTCTTCAAGGTGTTTAGGGTTTTCTTTGGGTTTTCACTAGTTTTTCTTGATGCCTTGAATTGAGTATTAAACTCATGTTTTGATAAGCACACATCAAGGAGGTTGATTGTTCATATTCAAGAATGTTCTTCTTCGGTGGAATCCAGAGTTCAAGCGTGGAGTGTCGAAGAGTTTGATACTGTGCGTGGTCGTTGATTCGACAATAGAAGTTGTGGATTTCAACTCAATCTAATCAATTCCGAGACGAAGGTTGCGGTAAAAAATATACAGAAGATTTGAAGATAATTGGAAGCGTTTGGGTATTTGTTTGTTATCTTTGTAATCTTTATTTCTTCAGTAGTGGATTGATTAGTGGCGTTTCGCCCGTGGTTTTTTTAATCACAATTGAAGGTGCTTCAATTGTGGTTTTTTCACGTAAAAATCGTTTGTGGCAATTTATTGTTTTCCGAAAAAACAACAATCTAAATCACTTTCGTAAGTGCTTGATGATTTAGATTGTGAGTTTTTATTTGATTGGAATTGGAATAATTAAATCTTGATCTAATACGAATCACTTAGGTTTTTTCAAACCATAAGAGAAAATCTATCTCAAATTTGACACAAAGATCGATCCAAAGTGGAATGGAACTAACACAGGCGAATCTGGCAGATGTCTGAGA